GCTCCTGCCTCTCCTTCAGTCGGTGTTGAGTGCGTTGGTCTAACGGCAAACTCTTGGACAGATTTTATTTATGTCTGCACGAAAGCAATGGCACTGCGGGCCCATATGTTAATGAGGCCTAGATTATCAGCCATATTCCAGCGCTCACTTTTATTGGCTTCTTGTCAGGCCATTAGCCATTTGCCGGTGGAGAAGGAAGCCCGATTCGAATTCAAGTTGAGTCATAAGATGGCATTAGCTTGATTATTGAGCGACTCTTGAGCGACTCTTTTTAATACGCACTCGATGCTGGGGCGCTCTGCCACACGATGGGTTTTTCACCGATGCGTTGCTGAGGAGAAGGTCTCTGGGTGCCTTCCCGGCCATTAAATGTGTGGTGTTTGAGCTGGTTTATTAAGGCGTGGCCTTATTTCCCGCTGACGTCTGCGGACGGGCCCACGCCTTTGGAGATTTATAGCCCCATGTGTGGCTGTGTGTGTGTGTGTGTGTGTGTGTAAGCTATGCTCATTCTCAATCTAAATCTGAATCTGACTCTGATGGTGACTTATTTATGTGAGTGGCGGCTGGCTGCCGGCTGCTGGCTGCTGGCTGCCGCTCTCGAGTGGCGTGGGCAGCGAGCGTTTGCTCTTTTGACTGTTGTTCCCATTCCCATTCCCATTCGCGTTCCATTTACATATACAAAAGATACAGATACAGACAGCCAAAACGGTTGCAAAGTGCTGCTCCTCCTCCTCCTCTTTCTCCTCCTCGCTTTTCCCTTGGAGAAATTAGTCTGGCAATCTTTGATTTATTGCCAGAAATTCCCTTTTTGCCGCTTGCAATTCGGTAGCATTTTGTTGCTTTGACACCAATTGGTGTTTTCGGGTTGTCTGTCCGTTGCACGCTATTGTGTCAGTGGCATGGGGCATGGGGCATGGAGCATGGAGCTGCTGTTGCATGTCAGTCACTCAAATGGCTGACAGCCAAACGAACAAAGTTCGTGTCCGTAGCAGAAGCTGTGTGGCAGCGCCAGTTGCCTCTTGCTGTTGAAGTGCCCCAAACTGAAGGTCAAACAATCGATGGTGCCGTTGCTGTTGCATTAGCAAAGTGATTGAAACAATGTGTTGAGAGCCATCGAATTTGAGCACTCGAGTGGTCAATGTCGCCTTCGCGGTCGGGGGCTTTGAATACCCTGTACCTTGCCCAGTGGGAGGGTGTATTGTTTTTGTGGAGGTGCAGGGAAAATTGTGTAAATATTTGGAAGATTGTAAGAGATGGGGGAACCCACGCCACAATTTTGAAGGTGGAATATATAAAACAATTTACCAACAAAAATCAACACTTATCAGCTGTTAAATACAAGTGGAATTATGATATACACTGCTCGTCAATAGGTTAGAAGCACCCAGTTTTGCATTAAAATTTGAATTATAATTTTATGCAAAAACCTTGGTTACTTAATTATTTATTTATTATTATTTAATTTAGCAGAATAAATTTTTTTTTAAACAATTTTCAAAGCTGTGTTAAATAGGGTACTTTTTTCTTGGTCACTAGAATAAACGCACAAAAACTAATTAATTTTTTGAAAGAAAAATAACTTGTATTAAAATTTAATTTTTAAATATTATTAGAACAAAAAATTTTAATAATTTCGTTTTCTATTCCGAAAAGAAATTCAAACGTAATTCTCTACTTCTTGAAGTCTAAAATGAGCCCATCTTTGGGCAATATTTTTAAGGGAATTTATAATCTATTCGATCCATTGCAATGTTGAATATTGATGCCCAAACATGACTCAATCTTCAGAAATTTCGCTTGACACACCGCGAAGCCCCAAAAACAAAACCGAAAATGAATATCATGAATATTTTATGAGCTGAGAGAGAGAGAGAGAGAGAGAGAGAGAGAGAGAGAGAGACTGGTTCCATTTGCTCCGTGTCTTTCGCAATCCATTCCGTTCTCTGTCTGTGGCTTTCGCCCTCATTACAAAACACAAATCATGCATTGCGTTTACTTAACGGTTAACAAAAAGCTGACAAATTTATTGTCGCCGTTGACATAAATATCGGCATCGGGTATCGGACACGGGAAATGTGTCAGGCAGCGGCAGCGGCAGCGGCACTGAACAGAAATGTGCCAAAAGATCGTGCTGTAATTGACATATATTCACGGGGTATATCAGTATATAATATACTACAAAGTGTATACAGGCAGAACAAAAGACCAAAGGAAAGAGAAAAGAAGCCACAGAGCACAGCGCATTCGTTCTCTGAGTAATTGTATGCGTGTGTATGGTGTGTGCTGTGTGTGTGCGTGTGTGTGGTCGCCGCTGGGAGATCAAAGGTGGCTGTGTATGTGGAACTCATTCTTAATGAGGACCACAGCTGGACGAGCTTTATCAGTTCAAAGCTTCTCGATCTACTTGTCACAAAAAGAAACCATTTATCGCAACGGTAACTGTTGAGCGTGCGGAGCTTTTTCTCAGGCATTCAGAACTCTCTCTCTCTCTGCTGACGCTCGCTCTCTTTCGCTCGCCTGCATCTGCGAGCAAACTGCATTCTGCGAGAGCCGATTCAAGGTGTCGGCATAAAAAGGTGAGGCCAAGCAGTGGTCTAGCGGCACCTTGTGAAGGTGGCGAGGCTTTCCACTGGAGTTTCTCTCTTGATATTTTATTGCCTCCTCTTGGATATTCACGTTTCTTCACCTTTAACCCCAAAAGAATTCACAAATATTCATCATGGTCTTTCACTTTCCGCCTCTGTGGTCCATATTTGGCATTATCTGATTAATTTTATGCATATTTTGTTGCTAATGAACTGCTAAATGCCAAAAAATGGCGTCCCACCGTCCCATCCCGATGTGAAATTTCACTTTTCCCCCGCCCCGCGTACGAGTGGATTGCCCCAACCGGTTACACACACACACACACACACACACACACACACGCACAATATCTAGTTTAAATTAATTTCTTTTTGTTCATCTTCTAGTTGGGATTTTGTTTGCAAATTTTTAATTAAAACATTTTGTTGAGTGAAAGTTTTCGCCCCCCCACCCCCCACCATTTCTCGAACTTGTGAGATCTCTGGCTTGCTTATTTTAATGGTCAATTGTCAGCTTCCGTTCTGCCCCAAGGAAAGGAAAAAAAAACGAGTGCAAAACAGAGAAGAAAAAGAAGATGAACAAAAGAGATTTAATTTTAATTAAAAAGCAAAACAAAACGAAACAATGCACAATTTGTGGCAAATTAAATGGCATTTTTCCACTTGACACAAAGTGAATTAATTGCCTCAACCGTTTCACATTCACAGATCTTTACGGCCCGAATAAAAATGTATTGTCTGTGTCTGAATCTTTTCATCATGCAAAAGTGACGTTGAAGCCTCCACCGTCCACCGTCCCCCCCTCCCCAGAGCCCGAGCCCGAGCCCGAGACCGAGTCGGGGGTCCAAGAGATGTCCTTCTGCAGTACAAGCGAAATTCTTGAGCGTGCATTGACATTTGCTTTGGCTTTTGGAGTGGCTCGATGGAGAGGAGCTGCTGCCATGAGTTGAATTTAACACCTTTTTTGTTATGCCCCCGGCATGTAAAGGCCCAAAAGCAGAACTAGACAGAGTCCCAGTCGCAGTCCCTTGTCCCTGTGCCTACAATGGATGCTGCTGCTGCTGCTGCTGCTGCTGTCATTGTTGCAACATCGAATAGCAGCCCTTTAAAGGACAGCGGCGGCAATGCACTCAAAAAACTGATGACCCAGCCAGCAGACTGTGGAAACAGTGGAACGTGACTGACAAGCGACAAACCAAAGGGGAATCATCAACATTTAAGTTTCAAATTGAATCTCCCTCGGCGACAACGTGACCTTGCATTTCTTGCAGTGTACGGGGCTGGGGATGGGGCTGGGGCTGGCGATGGGACTGGGCCTGTAATGGATGCAATCTGGTTACCCCTGGGAGACTTGACAATTGTTGGCCATAAAAGTGCTAAGCAGTTGGCCATTTGTGGGCCCAACATTAGAGCAACGCACAGGCCAAAGGCACAGCCACGGCCACAACGAAAGTATTAACAAAAGACTTAGGCGGCATACGTGAATCTCCTCTCCCCCCCCACCACCCCCTCTCAGTGGCAGAGGCACAGACAAAACCCCACCCTACATTCCTCCTTTGCTCTGCAGCAGCAGCAGCACCTAAACAATGGCGCGTGCTGCGGTTTAAAGTTATAGCCAGAGCCAAAGCCTGTTTTGGCCAAAGCTATTGCGTAGACTTGGCCTAAACCTGCTCTGGTCATGAAAATGCTGCATTACAGGCATTACATGGGGAGTTCTCTTACGCTACACAGGGTACACTCGATATGGCCAAAGGCCGGAAAGAAAGGGCATTCAAGAAGGCAAACATTTACCCATTGGAGGTCTGTGGGTTCTTGAAAAGAGTATCCCCAGTGCAGGTCTTCTGATAGTTCTGGTGGTTCTTGGGGCTGCTGTTTCTGTTGCTGTTGTCTCTGAGATCTAATAAAGTCAAGTCAAGTCGGGCCATGTGGCTCTAACGAAAGTTATTTATGCACGAGCCGGTCTACTTAGGCCTGCATGCGTCATCGGTTGCTGTTCATAATTTATGCCAAGACTCGGGGCCTCGGGATCTGGAGCTGGAGCTGTAGCTGTAGTTGGAGCCAAAACTTGGCGGCGTGGGTGTTAATGGCAAACAGAGCGGCACAGCAACAAAATACTCAGCTGTGTGGCTAGAAAACAAGCTGAACAACTACGAGACAAGAACGAACAGCAGCAGCAATACAGCAGAGTACGTGTACGTGGACGTGTACGTGTACGTGTACTGCCACAACAGACCGGAGCTCAGAGACAACAACACTAAAGGGTCGACGACACCAAAAGCGCCCGCATCGGAGGAAGGAAGCCTGCCACAGCAACAGAGGCAACTGCAACAGTGGTAATGGTAGTGGTAGTGGTTGTGGCAGTGGCAGCTGGCAATGGCCGTCGTTTCGGAGTGGCATAAAGCAAACAAATGGAAATTGTTTAAAGTTAGCTTTGGTTTATGGCCTTTTGCTGGCGATTGGTGGCCCAGAGAGAGACCAAGTGTCTCCTAGGTCCTTTGGCTGGAGGCCGCAAACTTGAAGGGGCGAAAGGGTTCGCCGGAGCCGCTGTAGAACTTCGACTGGAACTCCACCCAGTGGAGGCGGAGCGTGTGCAGGAAGGCGGACAGCCCCTCCATGCCCACCAGAATGGCCACGGTGAGCACGGCCCAGAACAGGAAGGAGCAGGCCAGCATCGGCACGGACACGTAGAGGGGGGAGCTGCTCTTCAGACCCTTGCTCAGGACCATGTGCCACAGCACATGGGACAGCTGATCGTGGGCCAGGGAGAGGGCCCACAGGCGCAGATAGGAGGCCGTGTGCGAAACGGAGCCCAGGACCGTCTCGATGGTGTGTATGCCCGAGTGGATCCAGATCTCGGACAGATCAAACTCCTCGGCATGGTCGGCCCTGGGATGGTCCGTCTTGGAGGCGCGCCTCTCGTTGACGACGTCCTCCTGGGAGTCGAAGGAGTAGCGCCGCGAGGAGCGCATCTCATTGAGGGTCTCGCGGCCATCCTGCTTCAGTTCGCTCATGTCGCGCTCCTGGCGCTCCTTCTTCAGCTTCTTCTGGCGCCGCTGCAGATAGATGGGCTTGCCGGCCAGCAGAACGGGCACCGCCAGGAAGGCCACGCACACAAGGACATACTCGAGCAGACGTTCGCCCTTGAACATCTCGTTTTTGCACTGCGGATCGTCCAGCTGGGTGTTCTTCATCAGCATCATGTCGATGAAGGTGATCAGCACGGACGGGGCACAGGCCGTGTTGTAGGGGGCACTCTTCAGGCCCCCGTACAGCAGCCACTTGAGGAAGATGAGGAAGACGAGGTAGCAAAAGAGGCAGATCATGAAGATGAACTGCGGCACAACGACCAGGAAGAGATCTGCCCTCCGGTCGAGGATGAGACAGTTGACGGCCGACAGCGAGAGGCCGAACATCATCTGGGCAATGCCCAAGATGATGGCCAGCTTCATTTTAAGCGAGTTGAAGGTGGTGATCGAGTCCTCGCCGCACACCTTCCACACCGGATCGACGCCAAAGGGATAGGGATCGCCCGAGAAGAAGTTGCCATCCGATGGATCCAGATTGAGCTGCCCGCTCATGTGGTCCAGCGTCGAGGAGTTGTAGCGGCAGCTCCAGCTGGAGCCGAACAAGTTGAGGGACTTGGACAGAGCGTCGTTGTAGATCAGGCCCATGTAGATGGAGAACAGGCCCATCAGCAGGACTATGTAGCGTCCGGCGAAGAGGATGTTGAGTATCTCGTTCTCCTCCTTGGCGGCCTGCTGGCTCTCCGCGATGTTCTTCTCCTTCCAGATCAGCAGGAGGGCGAACAGGGTCACCAGGATGCCGTGGCCAAAGTCGCCGAACATCACGGCGAACAGAAACGGAAACGTGATGATCGTGTACGGTGCCGGATTGATCTCCCTGTAGTCCGAGATGCCGTACGAGTCGATCAGGTTCTGGAATCCCTGCGTGAACTTGTTCAGCCGAAAGTAGGTGGGCGGAATGTGGCTGGATTGGCGGTTCTTCTTGAGCAGCACGGGGGCATGCGACTCCTCCTCGGTGCCCTGTTTGGGGGGACTCAGTTTCGGCTCATCATCCGGATCGAGCTCCTGCTCTAGCTGCTCCTCCTCCTGCCTATCCGCGCCGCCCTTCATCCGCGTTCCCTTCGTCAGGGCCCCGCGCACATCCTCGAGCTCCGAGACGGGCACAAAGCACTCGGCCTGCAGATACTTGTGATGCTGCAGGCCCCCCACCGGCCGCAGGCGATTCAGCAGATCGTAGACCATCACGGCCTTGCTCAGATTCACGCGCAACAGATACAGATCCCGGGCGGTCACCTCCAGGATCTGTATGCGAATGCGCTGCGACTCCTCGAGGATCCGCTCCAGGCTGGTGATCTCCGAGCTCAGCTCGTCGACCTTCGCCATGCGCAGCGTGCTCGTCTCGGGGCACTCGTAGATGGTCACGTGGTAGGCGTGACAGAGCCTGGTGACCTTTGGCCAGATCAGGGTCGAGTTGGTGAGCAGCAGCAGCGAGAACTTGCGCACCTTCTCCATCCGGTGGCCATAGTAGTCCACCATCAGCGTGGGGATCTCCGCGAAGCGCACCACCAGATTGAACCCGAACAGGCGGTAGCACAGCAGCTCGAAGCTCTCGAACTTGTCCGCCCGTATGCTGCCGATCATGTAGTTGAGCTGCCGGTGGGCAGGACCCTCGTCGGTGGCGTCCTTGATCAGGGACATCAGCGTGCTCTCCGTGTAGAGCAGCTCGCTGCCCTGATCGCTGGCGAAGTACTTGTCGGCCTTGTTGATCGCGTATCGGTGCTCGATCATCCGGTAGCGGCGACGATCCAGGGCCTGGTAGTGCTCCATGACGGCACTGGTCTCCACGTGCAGCCGCCGCAGCCGCTCGCCGTACTCCTTGAGGTCCCGCTCGCGCAGCCGGTGCTCCAGGTCCACGTCCGGATAGAAGTACACTTTGATCTGCAGCTCCACCATCTGCTGCTGCAGACTGGTCGTGATGCGGATCAGCTCGTTGCACAGCGACACCTTCTTGGTGTACAGCCCGTTCAGCTGGCAATCCTCGTCGTAGACGTTGTTGAACTGCAGGCCCCCGTGGTGGCCCAGCTCCATGAGGCAGTCGAAGGCGTTCTCCGTGTGCAGCAGCAGCTGGCACAGCTCCATTTCCTCGCTGCGGAAAAACGCTTTGGCCATGATCGAAAACTGACTAAGAAAATACCCAAAAAAAAATAGATCTATCTCTCCTAATATATAAATGTTTCGGGGCCTGCTCTGTTTGATTTTCGGTTTCTGGCTCGGGCTCGGGCTCAAGCTCGGACTCGGGCTTTTGTCTCCTGCTAATTGATACGTTTGTTTTTCTCTCCCATTGTGGCCTATTCAATTCGAGTAGCAAACATGGCCAAGAGCGGCCCGGGCCTGAGATCTCCGACCGAAGATAATGCCAGGCTTTGCATGCAAGCTCGTTGCAGTTGCAGCCCAGGCCACGCCCACACCGAAGGCCTCCGCCACGCTACAGTGAACAAAGACACATGGGGAACGGTGGGAAACAACATCGGACTTGCACAGAAATTGTGGGAAGTACATACATATCTCTCTCTCTTACAGATTCTCCGCCACAAACTAGAAAATATTCTCCCCTCCAACAATTTGTTGACAAAACACACAAAGAAAATACCATAAAAATACCATAATGATACCATTCGATGATCGTTTACTTTTACGAGTCTGATGGGAATTTCAATAGAAATTCATGCATAAATAAAGCCAGACATTTGTAAAGATTGGTTTATCTGCAGGAAATGGTTTGTTTTTATTTAAATTTTATAATAAAAGCAGAAACCATTAGGAAAACACATAAAAAATTGGGAAATATTTGCTGTAGTTCTTAGTTTTGGGAAGGGACGAAGACTCCAAGAACTCGTCGTTAGAAGAAATGAGAAATAAGAAATGTCGGCCGTCTGAAAAGCGAATGGAATCGAAACTGATTCTAGCTTAACGGTGAGCGACGTGCGCACAGAACCAAGAGAGCGTGAGCGAGAGCGCGGCAGAGGGCGATGCAACTGGCTGTTAACTGAGCGCGTTAACAGACTGTTAGCATGGGCCCTGTTACAGCTGTTACGCGAAACAAACCGAGAGCGGGGCAGAGGGCGACTGTTAACTGAGCGCGCGATAAACAGCAGCGCTAACAGGCTGTTAAAGTGGGCCCTGTTACAGCTGTTACGCAGAACAAACCGAGAGCGAGGCAGAGGGCGAGCGCCTGGTACCCAGCAGCGTTAACAGGCTGTTAGAATGGGCTGCTAACAGCGCCGTTGCCCTGCTACAGCTGTTAACACCCTTTTGTAATGTTTTCTTGGCGGGTATTTCTTTGGGAATATTGCAAAATCCACAAAATTAAAAACCAATTCGTTTTGTTTCTGCTTTGCTTAGCATTGAATTAAGTTTCAATAAAGACCAACACCATTTGATTTAGTTTGACAACCATTATGGCCATTGTTTTTGTTGCGGGGGGAATCTCTTTATATAAGCAAAAGATGACCCCAGAGTCATTTCGTTTCATTTCAACCGAAAAAGAAAACATTTTCCCATACAAATCGAAGCGGGGCACAAATTGTTTGGTAATTTCCAACGAAACGGCTCAGAGACTGACTGAAGCTCTTTGTAAACGGAATGTACGGCTCATTAGCCAATGCTAAAAGGAAAATAACCGAAACTCGAGGGAAAATTGTGTTCGAAGGCGGCCATAAAATGTTCGTTAGCACTTCTCCACCTCCTGCCCCACCGCCAACAATGAAAGTAAAAGTGCACTTGATAATTTCTTTGGCAAGCCGAAGCCGTCTGACAATGGGCGTTTTGGCCCGGCCAATTGGCCATTGTGCGGGGCGGCAGTTCGATTTCATTAGAGCCCCGAAGAAATTAAGTCACCAAACTGAAAGTTTCGAAAGCAAAAGTGTACAAAAATTAAGCCCCCCGGGAGGGAAACTTTTACTCACTTTTACGAGTGGCAGTGCGACAATTGCAGGCAATAAATCAAAAGAAATATCAAAGCCAGTTAAAGAACTGCAAAATGGTTGAACAAATGTCGGACACGTGTTCCAGTCCATAAATAAAACACATTTATTCCTCCAAACAATGTCAATTTGTAGCTGAAGGCAAAGGCGATTTTGAAGAGTCTTTTCAAGAGTTTTGGCCATTTCTGGGGGTTATTGTATTTTCGAGTATTTTCATAAACTAATTTGCATTTCTCTTTTGGCCACTCAATGTACGACGTACCGTTTTCACCATCCCCCCCTTTCTTTTGCAGAGGTAATGTGATCGGCCTGTTCTGGAAGCAATTAGAAGACATAACAAAAGGTAAGAAATCCCTCCAAAACAGCAGCAGACGCCCTCGCTCGCGTTTCATCGGAATCTGGCGACTCACTTTTTCGGCAAAGAGAAAGTGCATCTCATGAGGCGGCCTGTAATTTGCCAGAACCCATAATTAACGCCTAAACAGACACAAGGCCCGACCCCCAGCAGCAGGTCTCTCTCTCTCTCTCTGTCTCTCTGTCTCTCTGTCCCTCCCTTTCAATCAAGTGCGCGTATTCCGCATCAAGTGGTCGCTGGAAGACAAGATTTCATTTCATTTCGTGTCTTTTTTAATTATAGAGCACCCCAGCCGACTCTCGGCTATGGGGCGTGGGTGTAGCCCCAGAAACGGGTCAAGAACTGCCGCAGATGAGGGGGGAAAATGGTAGATGGTAGCGAAAGTCGAAAGTGACAAAAGTACATAGCATAGCATGTATATTCTCCGTCTAATGGGTCTTGGGTCTTAGGTAATCTTGGCTCTTACGCATTAGTGAGGCTCATCAGGTTCGGCGCTTAAGTCATTCGTTTCGGCCGCAGACAGTGCGTGGACTTGGCACCGTTACACGGGCCGAAGGCAGGAGGCCGCCTCAAATGCTGCCTGACGGCGGCTTCATTAAAATGTCTGCCTCGAAGATTGGCCTGGCCAAAACCGTTTTGTTTTTGTATACACCCTGGCATTTGTGTAGGGCCTCGAGGGGTATGTCGGTTTTAATGTGAAATTCTTTCTCTCAAGTGGTGTGCAGCGGTCTGCAGGGTATCCGCTTGTTGCACCGCTCTGACTGGCTTTGAAATTGAAACGTCTATGTCTGGTGTGTGCATCATCGTCTGTGGCACGTTGTGGATGTCAGCTTATCGCGCCAGACGGAACGCATCTTGGCGGTTTCGGGACGGGGCCTGCTCAGGGTCTGAGCAAAGCTTCCGCCTTGGCCTGGGTTCAATATACACCAGACAGAGACTCAGACTCAGCCTCAGCCTCAGCCTCAACCTCAGCTTGAGCTTCCAATTCCAGCGCCTGCCGCCACCAGCGAGCAATTTTCAATTTGCCAATTGTAGCAGTAAACTTTTTTTCATACGCTTGTAGCTGTTCTTTCGCTCTTCTGCTCGGGCTGCTGCTGCTGCTGATGCTTCTCTCTGCTGTTCTGCCTTGAACTGCTTATCTGCTGACTCTCTCTCACTCGCTCGCGTCGGATTCTTCTTGCGGTTCTACTCTCTTGCTTTACTTGTGTGCTTTGATTTGTGTGCTCTCTCCCTCTGGCTAGCTTTGATGTGTGTGCTCTCCCTGCTTTGATGTGTGTGCTCTCTCTCTCTGGATGTGCTCTACCTGCTTTGATTTGTGTGCTCCCTCTGGCTATGCTCTCCCTTCTTTGATTAGTGTGCGTTCTTGTGTGTTTCTGTTGGGAGTACCGTTAGCTTGGCTGCTCATGTGCTTTGGCTTTAGGTGTTTGTCTTGTCCGTTCTTGTCTCGACTTGTCCGTTCTTGTCTCGACTTCACCTGCTCGCTGCTCGCTCGCTCGCTCTGCCCGTGCGTGTGGATCTGGCCTCCACTAATTTGCGACAATTGGCCAGGCCATTAGTCGACTCTGAACTGACGGGCAAAGGAGGCGTGGCCCGCCCCCTCCCCCATAGACATATCAATTTATTGAGGAATTCTGCCATGAAATTACAAGAGCCCAAAGATCATTCGCTTCTCTAACAAGAGGGCCGTTACGGAAGTTTAGTTTGTATTCAAATTTAATTATATTTGATTCAGGGTAAATCAAAGGTCGTTGGCTGGACAACATAATAGCCTAGAAATAGCCTAGGAAGTAAACTCCATCACTAAGAGTATTATTAGGTAGGTTTCTGGAGCTCCACAGACAATACTTAAAGAACAGGTCTATGCAGAAGTCAAGAGAATCCAGAGCTCGGGCCTTTTCCCCACAATTCTGACTCACCGACCCCCCAAGACCCAAGAAAAAACCCCCTCCAATTAGCTGTGTGTGTGTCTGACCCTTCAGCTGGGATTTATGTTCCATAAATATCCAGAAATTGACAGACAGTCGATGGACGCTTTGCGTAATTCCAGCCACGGCGGCAATTGGTCATTACAAAAGCGGCCCAGTGGCTGCAGTGGCCAGCAGTGGGGCCTTGCAACACACCTGGACATGGACAGGGTCTCCCAGCCACCGTCCACCATCCACCGTCCACCATCCACCGTCCACCATCCACCATCCACATATGGAGGGAATGGATGGCAATTCATTAAACACACGCTGCTTTGCATGATTTCGGTTTAGGGTTTCTTGCCACGGCTTTTGGCAACATGGGCAAACATGACCCAAATTTTGATTATGACCGCACAGGCACTGAGGCACTGAGGCACGCTGCACTACGTCCCACCCCCACAGCAGGGCGTCAGACTCCGCACGCCCCTTTAGTCCCCCCGAAAGCGGCACGAGTTCAAAGTGAAATTCTGTATTTTGATTGCTGGTTCACATGACCGCGATGGAGGATGGCGGGGCTTTTGTCAGAACCTAATCAACACATCATCAATAACAGTGGGAAATCATTTCTTTGGCTTTGTTTTTGTTTTTGTTTTTGGGTTCTACGCTCCACGGCGTGGCTGTGGCATGGTGGGAGATTAATCACACACTCGGCCTGGGCAGGGCACAAAAATCCCAAAGAAAAACACTCCTTTCAAGGGGTCGAAGCAGCTATACCCTGGACCCAAAGCAAACAAATCGAAAGCGTTGGCTTAGATTATACAAACTTAATGAAAGCCAAGTGAACGATTTGGTAGCAGTGGCTCCGCTACCAGGAGTCGTCTGTGGCAATCTGATTGTCTGTCCAGTGATGCAACTGCCACAGCCAC